CGAGCCTAACCTGAGTCCTAGGGCTTGGGCTTGGGCCATTAATTTGAAGTCTGCCTTGGCACGCCCGCGCGCAGTGTCTATTTTAATGAAAAATAATAAATTTTTGATAGAAAAAATTAAAAAAAAAAAAAATGGTCAAACTCGCCTAAGCCAGAGGCCAAGCCTAGGCCCACCAGACCTGCCCGAGGCCCGACCTACCCTACGCCCGAATACCCTTGGGATTTGGCCTAATTTTTTGGTCTATGGCCCAGTCAAGTCTGGTTCAAATTTTGGCGGGAGCCCGTGATACCCGATATGGGCCGGGCTAGATTTACATCCATACTTGCATCTTTTTGATGGAATGGGTAAAATTTAACTGGATTAATATTTTCAAAATCTTTAAATATGATATAAATTAGTTGTTAATAAAATTTATGTTTGGTTTATAGATTTGGCGATGAATTTAGAAAGAGAGAAAAAAAGTAGTTGAAATTACGTAAAATGTAAATAAATTTTATTCATATTTCATCTTTTTTTTTTCATTCTCTCTTCAAATTTATGAACCAAACATAATTGTAAAAAATCTTCAATATGTGATATAAATTAATTGTTTTATTTATGCTTTTAGGGATTGTTTGGAGTGTCCTAAATAAGTGCACTTTTTGTCTTTTTGGACTAAAAAGTTGAAGAAAAAAATATGGATGTTTGTGTTAACTTTTTGATTTTTTATGAAAAAATGTGTATTAAAAATTTGTATAAATAAGTGTGTAGGAGAAGATAGAGTGAGAGGCCGCACGGATTGGTAAAGGAGCCGGTTGGGTGAGTAGATGAGGAAATATTGGCCTTATTTGGTTTGTGTTTCCCAAAAATTTTTGGAATAAATTCTCTACAAATAAGTTTTCAAAAGTAATCAAACCAAACAAATTTTTCCAAAAAAATTTTCCAAAATTTGTTTGGTTTACAAGTTTTCCAAACAAATCTCTCTCTCATACACATCAAATCAATCACTTTTTCCAAAACTCTCTCTCAAAATAATTTTCCAAAACATCTTTTGAAAAAAACCAAACCAAACAACTTCTCGGGCTTTGATTGGATGGTGTTGTTTGGCTCGTGGGGCCCACCACGGGTCCCGATTTTCTAATCGGAACCGTTCAATGTGTTGAACTCGTCAAGTACTATATGCTTGTAAAAAATCACGTTGATTGGATATCGATAGCTATCTGATCGTGTTAGTTTTTTTTTGTTAACTGTTAACTATAACAAAACTGATTTGATCATGTAGTTAGCGATATCCGATAGACGTGATTTTTTTACAGACATATAGTACTAGACGGGTTCTACATATTGAACGGTTTAGATTATCAAAATGGGACCTATGATGGGTCCCCACGGACCCAACTTTACTATTAAGATTTAGTGAATATTCTACTATAATTTTTTTTTCTCTATCGCTGACTGAACTGATCACGTCAGTACCATCATTTGAGCCAACTTTTTGATTTGTATTAATTTTTGTATATTAATTTTTTAATATTTTTTTTTTGTAAATAATAATAACTTTTTAATTTTTTGTATAATTTTTTAATTTTTAACTTTTTTTAAAGTTACCAAATCAGCCTTTAAAATCATATGTATTTCTACTCTAAAAATTGTGTTTTTTTTGTTAGGTTGTCGTATGATTATACTTGTATCTTATATTTGTGATGGGTAAGATAGAGAAAGTGAAATGAGAGGGGCAAAAAAACTAATTTATGTTACATCCTAACTTTAATAATTGAGCCATAAGGCTGAGTTAAAAGTAAAAGCAAAAGCAAAGTGACCCACCCACATCACATGGGTTGTGGGGTTGGGTCAATCGAAGGACAAATGCACCTTCCTTTGTCCGGTGGGTAGATACATACATACATACAAATTGTACGAAAATGACAACTACTTTTTATTTTTGTTTTTTTTTTTCAGCTTTAAAAAAGTAAAAGTTTTTTTTTTTTTTTTAGAGAGAATAAGCAATTACACAGAAGAAGACGCCTCAGACATCACCAACGCCATTAAAGAGGACGGAACCTCCTCCATCCAAATGCGTGGCGACTCAAAATCAAAGGCTAGCCTACTTAAACAATGGGCTACCGAATTGCCATCTCGACAGACATGCGAAACTTCTGAAGAAAGGAACCTCAACAGGAGCGCTTGAGCCACACCTACAAAATGACCATAGCAAGATAAGTTATCCGCCTTACCTTGAATTGCAGCCACCACATTTTGAGAATCACCTTCTAGATGAATATGTCCCAATCCCAAATCACAACCCAATTGAAGAGCTTTTATCGCACCCATAGCTTCCACACAATCAACATCCTCCATATACTGGATCCGCTCAACCATAGCTGCAATGACTTCCCCATGACAGTCCCGAATAATAATGCCAACACCAGCACTGGCATGGGCCGTCCTAACAGAGCCATCAAAATTCAGTTTGAAGACACCCTCACGTGGCGCAACCCACCTTCGCAGCCGAACCTGGGCCGGATGAAGATGGCCACGCTCTTGTGCTTGAACATATTCAGAAACATAATTCACCGCGAAAGAAACAACTTCCTCCACAGTCCTTGATTTATTGCCAAACAGAATGGAGTTTCTATTGTTCCAAAGGCACCAACAAATAGCAATAAATAATTGCATGGGTTCTGGTCCATTTGTGGCCATGAGTTGGCATACCCACTCAAAACAATTGTTGACAGGATTAGATTTGATAATCGAATTAAGTGAGCTCGATCTCCACACTTGCATGGCAAAGCCACAGTTGTGAAAACAATGGCAAACCGTTTCAATCTCCACTCCACACCCAGGACATAAATCCATATTAACAATATGACGTTGCCGCAAATTGGCCCTTACCGCTAACAATATTAAAAAAAAAAATTCTATGATTTGACTATGGAAATAAAATAGATTATAAATTTTTATTTTCGTTAATTTTAATCATAATTTTTGATTTATTTTTAATTTAAATTATTATCTATTTTTGATAAGTAAAATTACTGAAAGATAATAATATTTTAATTATTAAACTCAATAGTAATGCTAAAAATATTAATTAATTTACTAATTAACATCCTAACTAGATACAATATTATACGGATCATGTTAAGTGGTGGAACCCACACGTATGTTTTGTATTTTAATTAGTGTGTTAGTAGGCTAAGTGTTTCTAGCATTACTCTAAACTCAATGTAGGTTTACATAAGATGTTTAGAACATTTTTTATCGTTAAGTTTAATAATTAAAAAAAATTTGATCAATTTTATTTAACAAAAATAAACAATAATTTTTTTTTGAACCAAAAAATAAACAGTGATTTAGATTGAAAATAAATTAAAAGATTATGGTTAAATTGATAGAATTAAAAAATTAAGATTTATTTTGTTATAAAGGTTAAACATTTTCCTTTAGTAATTTTTCAAATTTAAATTTTGGCTCCGTTTGGGAAGAAAAAAGCCAGGCTTTTTTGGCAAAAAAGCCAGGCTTTTTTGGCTAAAATAGCCACAAAAAACAAAATAGGCTATTTTAGCCACAAAAAACAAAACATCAAATCCAACCCATAATCATTACAATCCTCTCTTACAAAAAAAGCCAAAAAAATCAAAAAGTTAAAAAGCCCTTCCCAAACCAAGCTAAAATAGCCCAGACTAAGGCCTAATTTGGGAAGACTAAATAAGTGTACTTTTTGACTTTTTATGAAATATGGGTTGGGTTTGGGTTGGGTTTGAAGTGATGTGTCAGAAAGGTGATGTGACTTAAATAAGATGATGTGACTTAAATAGGATACTGACTTTTTGACTTTTTGTCTTTTTTCAATCTTCCCAAACTAAGCCTAAAATAACTAAAAAGGCAAAAAATCAAAAAACCAACTTACTTCCCAAACGGAGGCTTTGAATAATTAAAACAAAAAAGTGAATGGTATTGAAATTTTGTATAATGGATATATCATGTTAATTTGCGCCTAATGTCATCTCAATCTCCCGACTTAAGATGTTTGGATTGGATTTTCAAAAATCTTGACCCGTTTATTTAATTATAATTCTATGTAAATACACTGCTTTTAATCATTAATCTGTAATTTTTTCTTGGGCAAGGCTTCTTTAGTTCACTTGTGTTTGATTGGGGGATTAGGGGAAATTATTCACTATTCAGATTGTTTATTTGAAAGAGTGAGTAGTCTATTGTTTGTTTTTTTTTAGTCCGCCGGACTCCTTATCCCCCATATGGGGGATTATGCTATCCCAGGGGGGTGTGGGACAGTTTTGGAGGTACTATTTACTGTTGAGATTAGGTGGTAAAATGACTATTTTGACCATCTACTATTTAATTATGTATTATATTTAGTAAAATTCAATAAAATTTAAATGTCTCAATTTAAAAATAAAATATTTTATTTAACTTTTTATTGATGTTTTATTTATTTAATTTTTTAAAATAATTTTCTATAGATATTTTATTGATGTTTTATTTTAAAATTTTGTTTATATTTTATTTAATTTAATTATTTAAATGCTAATAGATGTTTTATTTAATTTTATTGTTTAATTATTATTATTTTTAAAAAGAAATTTAATTAAAATTTTAGTTAAAAAAATACCATATCTTTTTATTGATATTTTATTTATTTTATTTTAAAAAAATAAATTTATTTAATTGTGTAAAAAATAAAATAAAATAAATTTTTATTTAACCTAGCTAAAAATAATTAAAATATTAAAGATATGTTTAATATTGCTATTACTTAGTAAATAATTGAAAATTAGTAAAATAGTTTTTTGTTCATTTATCTTATCCACTCCGTCCAACCAAACGTTAGATTTACTAAAAATAGTCATTTCCAGACATCTAATCCCATGAAAAAATAAACACCGGATACATATCCAATCCAACCATTGATTGGTTCATGGAATTTAGGAAAATGATTCGTGCCTCGACAAAGTGTGGTGCGATTGCCTCGACACGTGTAATTCACTCTCTATTCTCATTCCTCACTTGCACTTTACTTACTGACCCAAACCCATTCAAACCCAAAAACTCCCAAAAACTCTCAGCCTCTCTCTCTCATCCTCTAGGTCTCCTCTCTACTGAAACACCAAAAGTGATTCAGTTCAGCAAGCAGACCAAAGTGATTCGGTCCGGCGGTGGAGGGCTTCCGGCCACATTGCTTTGTTTACCCAACCCAAGCCCTAGATCCCCAAATCTCCTTCATTGACAACCAACAAAAGGTCAGTTTTTTTTTTTTATTTATTTATTTAGTTTTTTTTTTTCTCCATTTAATCCCCATGATGAAAAGCTGTGTGATTTTTCAAAAGTTCTTGTTTGTTGTTCTTGTTTTTCTGGAGTGCCAACCGTCATGTGCCACAGATTTTTGCTTTTATTTTTGTATTTTTTTTTTAATTTTATAAATCGTTTCCATTTAATCCCCTTAATGAAAAGCTGTGTGATATTTCAAAAGTTCTTGTTTGTTGTTGTTGTTTGTTGTTGTTGTTTTTCTGGAGTGCCAACTGTCGAGTGCCAAAAAAATTGAAAGTAAGTGTGATTCTCTCTAGACTTACATTTTGCATTGCAAGTGTATGATAAAATGCCTCAATGAAATGCTTTGTGCTTCCATGGGCCATGTTATATGAAGAATAGTCGCCTTGCCATGAATACTTAATATATAAGTCTCTAACATAAAAGAAAAAAAGAAGCAGCAGCAGCTAATCTCCATTGAGTATAATTTTTCCAGTATATATCAAATGGAACTCTATAACACCAAAGCCTTGCTAAATAGATGGAGTAGTTAATATTGAAGGTTTAATAGTATATGTTGTCAAATGTATAATAGGTGAGTGCTTTCCTTACCTCTCTTTGGACTTTCTCCTATAACAATACAATCACGCTTGCTTCCCTATTACTCTATTTATATCCTCTAGAGCTTTAAGAGACAGAAAAATTGGGATACAATTCTAGATGTAGATATAACACCATAACAGTGCCAATATGTTGTGCAAAATTAAGATTGATGATTGCTTCCTTCCTGCCTACTGCTCTTTCAAGTAAAATACATGATTGCATTGAGACTTATTTAACAATACCATCCTTATTGAGAATTATGTTCTTGATTTGCAGTGCAGCCCCCAATTTGCATTGGGAGGACTTTGATTGGAAAAGTAAATTGGATTTTGCAGTAACTTCAAAATTATGTGCAACCATATTATGTGCAGATTGGTTTAACCATATTATGTGCAGTAACTTAAGTATATTTGGTTTAACCATATTATGTATACTTAAGTATATTTGGTCTAACCATATCATGTGCAGTAACCATATTATGTGCAGTAACTTAAGTATATTGGTTTAACCATATTATTTGCAACCATATTATGTGCAGTAACTTAAGTATATTTAACACCAAATCTCAAGCTAATAGCCAGATTGGTTTCAGTAAATTCAAAATTATGTGCAACCATAAATTATGCTTTGTGCTTCCATGGGCCATTTGACATTATTAATGGAGACTTTTTTTTTTTGGTGCTGAATAATGTACTAATTCCATGGGCTATTTGACATTATTAATGGAGATATTTTTTTATTTTTTTATTTTTTTTTGCTGAATAATGTACTAATTATGTGATAAAATGCCACTATTAGGAGTAACATGTCAATGGTTTACACCTCCACTAGTTCAACCAACGATGGTCGCCTTTTCGAAAATTGAGGTTGCAAATGTGGCAAAAAAACGGCCGTTAAGATATCAGACTCACAAAAAAATCCAAGGAGGCTTTACTTCAAGTGTGCAGATGGCAGGTGCGATTACTTTGCATGCGATTACTTTGCATGGTGGGCACCTACTAGCCAACATGGCAATGCATCAAATATCCAATGGAGGCCTAATTCTATTCATAGGAATAATGAAGATGAGGGGGAGAAGAATGATTCTGAAAGAAACAATGTTAATATGTTTAATGTTAAAATGAATGCTGTAAACTTAGATGTTAATGTGCTGGTTTAGCTTTAAAATGAATGAACGTTTTAGCTTTTCCTTCTTGTTGAACAGTCATTTTCTTGTGGATGAATGAATGAATGTTTTTGTATAGTAAATGAACAGGGTGTTGAATGAATGTTAGCAATTGAACAACCATTATGTGCATGAATTTATAAATGTTTTTGTTGGTTGAAAAAAAATGTATGCTTCCAGGAATAGTGGAGTTTGCTGGAATAAAAAGTTTTGTGTTGTAAATTGTATGCTTCCAGGAAAATAGTATTGGACTCTCAAGATCACTCATACAATTTGAAAATAGTATTGGACTCTCAAGATCACTCTCAAAATAGTTTTGTGTTGGTTTGTTCATTCAAGATCAGTCAAACAATTTGAACAAACTAATTCAAGATCACTCATTCATGAACAAACCAGTTTAAAGCATTACACAATTTGAACCAAAACTAACTCTCAACATTCACCATATTTCTTGACAAACAACTGCAACCAAAATTTAATGAAGCCAAAACCCATTCAGCATTTGGAACATTCAGGATTAGTCATACAATCTGAACAAACTAATTCAAGATCACTCATTCATAATCATGAACAAACCAATTTAAAGCATAACACTACGATTTGAACCAAAATTGAATGAAGCCAAAGCCCATTCGAATAATAAGTCACCTTCCAACCATTAACATTTCTACATAATCAAACCAAAGTATCCAAAGCTCACAAAACAAAGTCATAAAATTACTACTGTAAAACTAAAAATAAAATGGGGCATTTGGATCCAAGGTGCTTCGCATATTTTGCATAAAATGCATACACTTGTTGCTTTGAGATAAAACACATCCCCTGCTTAGTTCGGTCAGGAGAATTCAAAATCTCATAGTAAAATACAAAAAAGTTAAGAGCAAGTCCAAGCCGGATTGGATGTGTTGGAGCAAGTTCTGCACTTGCAATATCCTGAAGAAAAAACAATCATGGTTATTATAATGTTCAAAAACAATAAATGTATAAACCAAAAAAGAAACCAAGAAGAAACCAACAATTGATCAGCATTATCCCACCATTACTGCAGATTGAAGCAAACTACCCCTATTTACAAGTCCTATTCAATGTTAGGACTGTACTTTTTTTTATCATCTTCTTTTACAAGTTTTTCCACTTTAAAAATTCACATCATATACACAAGCCTAAGACAAATAATTATCATAACTCATTTCTAACCCAAACTTAACAGGAAACTGAGGCCAAAACAAAACAAAAAAATGTTAAAAAAAGAAATTAATCAAACCAAAAATTGGACAAGGTAGCATGTATGTCCATGATAAAAGTTTCAACATTTATTTTCCTTAGGAAATTAAAAATAATTTTTTGTCACAAGTTCATTCTCTTGTTAAGAATTCATCATAAGAACTTGTTCAATGGGTATGTGCATTTGTAATTTCCTGTTGCTAAGTTTAGGCATCTGCTGCTAACTCACAGGTTGCTAACTCACTAGCTATTGCATCTGCTGCTAATTTATCATAGAAGCATGCTCACATGTTGCTAACAAACAATGTAAAGGGCTTGGTGATAACCAAACAAAATTTTTCTATGTGGACTTTCAACAAACACCTAGAATGCATGAATACAAAACACCAAAATCATGTATCAAACAAATTAAAGTAAAGAAAATTTCATGGACCAAGAAAATTTCATGTAACAAACAAAATCATGGACCAAGAAAATTTCAACCAAGGTAAAGCAAAGAATGTGTTTGAAGCAATACCTCGAATCAGTTGCTTCTTGGCCATTGGAGACTGAAATTTTCAGAGAAACTGGACGAATTGGAGGCTACTAGACCGTGGTTGATGCTCAACGATGGTCTTCCTTGTCGTCGGTGGCCACCTAGGTCGTCGTCGTCATCGTTGGGGTCAAGCCCTTGGGTCGTGGTCGTCTGCCTCTCTATCTCCTAGATACGCAGATTTGTTCTCTTCAGTCTTCAAGGCTCGTGAGATGTACACTGAGTGAGGCGCATGAAATGTACCCAGAGTTTGAACTGCCAGCTCAATTCGAGGTATTCGCGCCTCAGTTTGTCGAGGTCTGTAGCAGCGTTGTGGGATTTATTATGAGTTCTATTTTGATAATTCAAATAGTTTAATATGTAAAACTAAGGCCTCGTTTGGGAACATGTTAATTTAGTAATTTTTTGGGTATTTGGCTAAAAAGGTAGGTAAAAAAAACTTATATGTTTGGGATAATTTTTTAGCTAATTACGAAAAGATGTGCAAAAAGTGGAGAGAAAAGAGAATCTTTGACTTTTTGGTATGAGTTGTTGACTTTTTGGCTAAAATGGTAACTTTTTGACTTTTTGGCTAAAAAGGTAAGTCTCTAAACGGGGCCTAATTGAGTATTTCATCTTTACATGTTGATCAGATATTAATAGCCCTTTAATTAAAACACATTTTTATCGATAATTTATTTTTAAAATTATATTTACTATTAACAAAAAGATGATTTGATCGAGGGATTATCAATAACCAATTAACTTGATTTTTTTTCATAAATAAAATATTTAATAAATTCAACATATTAAATAATTTATATTATCAAAATAAAATCCGTAATAAATCCACGGATCCAGCTGCACTGGTCAGTCGTCTGTTTTTTTGTTTTTTTTATTTCATTTTCATCTTTTCAACTGACATGTCATTTCTCATAATTGAGCTATGGTCCAAAAGAAAAGCAAAAGCAAAAGCAAGATCCCGCTGCACTGGTCAGTCATCTGTTTTTTTTTTGTTTTTTTTAATAAAGATTGGGACCTCTTTTCCCACTCCTTTTCACCTCCTTTCTTTTTTGATTGGTCACTTTTTCTTTTTCTTTTTCTTTTTCTTTTTCTTCTCCTCCTCTAATCACCAGCCGCCACGTGTGTGGAGATGGTGGGAGTTAAAGTTTAAAGGGGTTTAAATCACTGTTATTTTTTATTTTCATCTTTTCAACTGACATGTCATTTCTCATAATTGAGCTATGGTCCAAAAGAAAAGCAAAAGCAAAAATAAAATCTATGCTTGGTAGAGTTTTTTTAAAATTTAGGTTCAAAATCAATATTATGTTTTACATCACTCAATTAAATTTTTTTAAAAAATTTATAATTAAATAAATTTTTTACATTTAAATTATAATTTTAAAATTCATAAACTTAAAATATAACTCTATCCCCAAATTATAATTTTAAAACTCTACCAAACATAATCAAAGGCCTATTTTGAAAAGTAAGTTATAATTCACTTCTCAGATTATAATTCACTTTCTCTCTCACAAAAAATTACTTATAAATAATTTTTTATCAAAAAATTAATTATAACTACCTTATCAAAATAGGCCAAAGTCTGCCACTTCCCTCACATGGATTGTTGGGGTTAAAGCGAGGGTTGGGATTATAAATGAATAAAATCATTCGTAAATAAATTTGAACTTTGGGAATGGCTTGTTTGAATTTAGTTGGTTAAATTTATATTGTGCATAAATTTGTTAAAATTTTAATAAATAAATTTAAATATTTAAAACTTAGTTTGTTAATTCGACTCGTTACTTGTTTCGTTTAATATTTATAAAAATATTATAAAAATATATTTAAAAAATAGGATACAAATAGGAGTGGTCGTTGGTTCAATGATAAAACCTTAACTTAATGGACTTTTCTTAAGTGTGCCTTGCATATGGTATGCAAGGCATTTACGACCTTGCATTTACATTTTCTATGTATTGGGTTATACGACATTTTTTTGCATTACACCTTGCATATGGTGTGCAACCTTAAGGGGGTTGCACACTTAAACATTACCCTAACTTAATAACTTTGAGATTATAGATTTAAATCTTGGGACAATCACTTTGTACACTATTCCAAAGTTTAGGCGTGTACTCAATTTTTTCTCTCCTAAACACATATTAATGTGTACTAATTGTGTATTATTTTATATATTTAAATAATATAAATATAAATAATGGTTAAATTTATTTATATGTATATAATAGTTAACTATAGATAATATATATTTATATAATAGTAGTGGTAGATATTATTATTTTGGTAATATATTGACTTTTTTTTAGTATATTTATATATATTGTATTTATAATTGTATAAGTAAAGTTTCAATTGTAACTTTAATTTAATACTTAAGTATAAATTTATAATTTCTTTAACTCGTTAAGACTCGTGAATAAATTCGGGCTTAAGTCAAGCCTAAGCCAACTTGGTTCGAACTCGTTAAAATCTTAATAATTAAGTCCAAACATATTAACATTTGGCTCAGCTCAACTTATTTGCAACTCTTGTTCGAAGCATAAATGCACCTTCCTTTAAATGGCTAGTACTTTTTATTTTATTTTTTCTTTCGTAATTCAATTAATTTTTAAATTTTAAAAAATAAGAACTAAATTTTGAATAATCAACTATAACAGTTTAACATAGTCTCTTACAATATAAATATATATAAACAATTAAAAAAATATTACACCAAATACTCCAAATTATAATAAATTGTGAAAGTTAAATCGTGCGTCTATAATTTAGGGTTGGTTTGGGGTGTCCTAAAAAAGTGTACTTTTTATCTTTTTACGAAAAGATGTGCAGAAAAGTAGAGAGGTATAAAAAAATAAAAAGATGGATTATATAGTGTACCCTAAACCAACCCTTAGTCTATGTACGATTTACTCATCTCACATACAAAAATAAACACATTGGTTGTGTTTGGTAAAGTTTTATAAATATGATTTGAGAATATGAGTTGTATTTTGAGTTTGTGAGTTGTGAAATTATGATTTGAGTGTAGAAAATTTCACTACAACATTTTCTTAGTTTAGTGACATTTAAAAGTGCCACAAAACAATTCTTCTAATGACATTTTTTGGTCTTGTGGCATTTTGAACAAGTGCCACTTCTATCGGTGCCACGGTAGATACTTGCAAGTATCACTGCACCATCATGGCTGAAAACTTTCAATGACATTTTAATGTCATGGTAGATATTATTTGTGGCACTATCAAGCGCCATTAAAAAAAGAGTTAGTGACACTTGTAAGTGTCATTACACCATCAAGACTAAAACCTTTCAGTGACACTTTAA